TAACCCACCCCTTCCACTCTTCTCTCTGCCTCTCACTTAATGGTTCATCCCACTGTAACCCTTTCCTGCATGTCTCTTGAAATAACCTCCTAGCCGGAAGTAGATAAGGTGCTACTAATCCAAGTGGGTCAAACACGGACGACAACACAGAGAGCACACCTCTCCGAGTAACTGGCTTATCAATATCACCAACACTAAATCCAAAGGTATCAGAGTTCACATCCCATCGCATACCTAATGTGCGTTCAACTGGTAGAGTATCAACAGGCAAATCTCGTACGGTAGGTGCTCTGTCTTCTGGATCTATATGCTTCAAAACGTCTAGGCTGTTCGAGACCCACTTAGTTAGACGAAAGCCGGCCTTAGCTAACACTTCAGTAATGCTTGTTGCAAATCTAACTGCAGACTTATCATCATCGAAGGAGGCTAAACAATCATCCACGTAGAAGCAACAATCTATGACGTCCAGCAAATCATTAGAACCAAATGTGGACACTGCCTTTCGTAGAGCAAAATTAGCACAAAATGGGGAGGATGTGGCACCAAATGGATGCACTGTCATCCTATATTCTGACACCTTACCACAAGGACCGTCATCAAACCACAAAAACCTCAAGTGATCTCTGTCACTCTCTGGCACCTTCACCTGAAGGAACATTTCCTCAATATCCGCCGCGACAGCAACTGTAAACTTTCTGAATCTCAATAGCAGTCCCACTAATGAGCTCACGCAATCTGGGCCACTATACAGATTATCATTTAAAGAGACTCCTTCGTGTTTCGCAGAACAATCAAACACCACACGGAGTTTACCTGGCTTCCTCGGGTTAAAGACGGGATGATGGGGCAAATACCACTTCCCTGGCTCACTTTGATCAACTAGTCTTTCAACGTAACCCTTCACTATATGTTTATCGACGACTTCCTTATATTTGGACCAGAGTTCTGCATCTGACAGGAATTTCTTCTGTAAACCCATTAGTCTCTTAAGAGCAACTTTCCTATTACAAATCAACTGTCTATCTTTGAATCTCCATGGTAGGCCAACGCTGAAACGCCCGTTTTCGTATTTACAAGAGTCCTCGGCTATTTTAACTGCTTTCAAGTCTTCTACAGAACGACCTTTCCCTGGGACACCGCAGTCACAAAACTCCTTGTCATACATATTTTTAATCATAGTTTCTAGTTTGTCCCCATCGTTTGTAACTAATGATGATATGTGGACTATGGGTATAGGTCCTCTCACTGTCCATCCCAGTGGTGTTTTTGTCGCAAACAGATCATCTCTACCTCCAAATCTCTCTTCTAATACCTTGTGAGCTTCTGGCACACTACATCCAATGAGTACTCTCACTCTTCCATCTTGCAATGTTGGAAGAGGTATGTCACACAGGTACGGCTTACCGACAACCGTTTCACGACTAGGTACTATAGCTTCGCCAAGTTTCATACTGGAGGTAGTGTAAGCAGTATCCACTTCCACGGTCTCCCCAGTAGCCAAGGATTCTAACTGAAATGACACTCGCTCACATACTACTGTTTTCGCAGAATTGAAAGTATTTACAACCAAGGGTTGCTTTGGGCCTTTAATACCCAAGCAACCAGCCAGTTCAGCATCTATCAATGTAACGTCTGAACCATTATCCAACAATGCATAAGTCTCTACTGAAGATTTCGGTCCTTTCACCTTAACTGGTAATACCCCTAAGAAAACTTGTGGGATGTCAAGGGGTCTAGAGATACTATTACAATTAACCGAACTCCCAGGTTCGTTCACTGTTCTCAGAAGTGGGTGCATATCCGTTAAACCACTACTTCCTTTATTTGTCGCCTTACAATTCCACTTTGTATGCCCAATCTTTAAACAACTGAAACACAGCCGCTTCTGCTTTGCCATTTTTAACCTTTCTACGGGTGACATAGCGATAAAGCGATTACAATCACTCAATTGATGCATGTTATGGCAGACAATACACTCATCCTTTCTCGTTGTGTCTTGAGACTTCACCACAAATGCCTTCCTTATATTCACTGGTTCCTTAGGTTCTACCTTAGAATGCAAAATGCTGGCGAATTTGCCCATCGCCTGGTTGACACTGTCCTTCACCAGTCTAAGAATATCATCGAACCTTGGCTCGATACCCTCCTCCTCTATACGAGAGCTTATTTTTACCCATTTCCTTTGCAGCCGCGTAGGTAGGCGTCTTGCAATTACCTCTAGGACTGAGCTGGAGTTGAGGTCACTCATGAAATTCATAGAAATCAAGGTATTCTTGTAAGTCATAAGATTGTCTAAAAACTCAGTGAGTGCCTTGGAGTCATCTTGAAGTTGACTGCCATTACCCTTGACAGCTTCGTATACGTTCCTTACAATCATCGAAGGCCTTCCAAACCTTTGACGTAATATGCTCATAGCCTCAGCGTATCCCTCATTAGGGGGCATGAGCTTACAGCACTGTATAGCTCTTGAAGCATCTCCAGTGCAATACCTCATCAAATACATCAATTTCAATTCATCACTTAATAAAAAACTACTCAGCATGATCTCAAACTCCTTAACAAACTGTAAATAATCGGCCGGGTTTCCATCAAAACACCGTGGTTCAAATTTAGGGAGTTTGATGTTCCTATTATCCCTGAACGGCGAAACAGTAACATCAACCATGTCATGCTTAACATCAGACACATCGTTACAATTAACAGACAAGTCACCATGACTTACTTTCCTGTTTGTATCCAAGACACTCTGTCCCTTCTTTGACCCAGGCATTGTTGAACTTGACCCAATTCCAAAAAGTTCCAGATATTGCTTGTTCAAAGAGGACTTGACCGGCACCAGGAAAAATGAACGGCGACTATCCAAACTTTCACCAACTGTTTGAATCCGCCAGATCTGTTTCTATCGTCAGAAACTGTCAATCACGTCTCATAAACCGTTAATGCCCAGCTCTCGCTACGCTCGGGCCCACGCTGTTCTTAGAAGATTTCCAGAAACGCTTAGTTATAACGGACGCAAAAACCAAAACACCGATCTGCCGTTTGATATTTCTGTATTGTTACACCAACATATAAAAGGAATAAGCGAACTAAGAACTAAGGTCTGAAAACAAATATTACAATAATAAATCTCTGTATTACTTCTGACGATGTTTCACTCTTCTTTCTGAACAGCGACCGATGAGACGATGACTGTCGTATTGATGCCTCCGCGAAAATTGGGGAAGTTGATTTTGAGCAAACAACCAAGAATTGATCGTTCAATCTTCATTTCCATTGACACTACTGCTTAATATAGAAAGAGAACCACGCAAATCATTAAGATAAGGTTATCGATTTGTCACTTGATTTTTCATTCTTTATTCACCAATCATTGAGTGAACATGACGTTGATAGTATATTTTGTTGCAGAGACTCCGCCATTAACTATTAACATCGATTTCTCTATTTTTATTGGAAGGAGTATGACATGCATGCTATCATTGCCTGCTTGGCTTTGAGATAAGTTCATGGTGATTCTGCCAATTACTTTCAGTGACGGAAATAGACCCCAGGAAAAGGCAGAAAAAATCGGCAGTAATATAGTATTTATCGTTCAGTTCACACAGGCGTCGTCTTTGATGACTCAGTAACAAATAAGTGAATGTTGGAGTAGTGTTCTTAGATACAAATACAAAAGTCGCCTCCGAGGTTGAAAACAAGCTAAAGTTATCCCATTTTTCAAACAGCTTTTCTTCTATACAGACGGTCCCTAATTCGTCCTTTCTTATTGTTGTCAGACCGTATCATCGTTTAAAGAGTCTTATTATCGTGTTTTTCACCCAGTGACATTACTACCCTAATTTCCATCTCCACTTATCAACTATTTCATGACAGCCATGCCTTGAAACCTAGAATGGGTCTCTGTGAAGATACTTTTTGTTTAACGAAGGGGAGAAGAGAACAGAAGTTCGCAGTCCTTCTGAAAGTGAGGCAATTCCAAAACACATAAAACACTTTTTGTTTATGTGCAAATTCATGAGAAAATCTTGCCTTTTAGATTTACTTTAACCATACCGCCGCTAATTCTTTTTGTAGTATTTTGTTTGACCGGAAAAATATCAGTTTCTGTATGGTAATAGGTATTACCTCCTGCTTGGATTTCAGGTCAAATTTTGAATTGTTTAGTAAGCAACCCTGAGTTTAAGTGCCCATGAAATTGATGAAAGTAAAGAGACCATAAATCACATCACTGCGGCAAAATTCAGTCTTGACAAAATGTAATCTAGGGAAATTATAGTAGGAGCAGAGGATTTAAGTAGAACGGAGCTTTAAAATGACTGTTTACAAAAGGATGATTTCATAAATTGAAGTTGATATAGGCAGGGAGTGCAATGGAGAGTGCAGTGAACTAAGATCCAGCTCGTTGCACGAAAACTTGTCGTTTATGAGGCAGATTTCAGTTCGTACAAGGCGGAGAACAGGTTTTACCAGAGACTAGAGGTAAGGAATTATAATATGCCATCAGGTGAGAAAGAATGGCGAGAGAGTGGTTGTGCCTGAAGAAAGACACACCTATTCGAAAACAGTTTAATAGATTTTTAGTGTCTGGGGGTTATTAATACTTAATTTTTCAACACGTAAATTTAATGTCTAAAACTTACACAATAAATTCCAGGGATACCCTGACTTTCCACCGCCCTAAACTGTTTTGGAAAAATAAGCCCTTAAAAACAGTGTTTACAAAGTTCTACATGATACAAGCAGAAACACCATACGTATGCCACACAAGTGAAACAAGCAGTGAACTTTTCACTTAAAATGTTAAGACTTACCCGGTGATTTCTGTCAGCCCAGATTAGGTATAGTGATTAATTAACATTTTCGAGATCTGTTAAAGTTTTTTAAGGCATAATCACTGATTCAGTTAGTTTTGATCTTAAAAATGTATATTGTAAATTGCTTTCTTGTTTTAGTATTGATTGTAAACACCGCGTTGTTTATACTTTTCGTATTCATCGTATATGGATTATGTTTATATTCTGGCCCCTCTGGGACTTGGCGTAATTCTTACTTTATGCAGTACAGGATACTGCATGTATATTCGTTACTCTAAACGTAAATTAACGGAGCGTATAAGAAGGCAAATGCTTGCCAAAATGATAGGGGGACCAGATGCGTCAGTTCAAGATTTTCAGTGGTATCCTAAAATGATAACCAATGGTATTTCGACGTATCCAAGTAAGAAATCAAGCGCTTCCATATTTCAATCAAATATTCATTCATATCCAGTTCAACCTCCATCAGATATTTTTGTACAGAAAGTTGGAAGGGAGTTATACGCTTCACTTACGCGAACTACGTAAGTCATCCATAAATGTGTGGATATTCACTGAAATTTTTGGCTGGTGAATAGTCTGTGTTTTCCTCTAGACACATATATTTTACTTGTATTCTCTTGAGCGCATTGGCGCTCGGATAAAGCTAAGAATGGGGAACTCATGAGCCACTAATAACTTAGTGTAATGTTGACAAAAGGCAAACCAATATTGTGAAACATGGGACATAATGCGTTACCTGCTAAAAGGTGGGAATGAGCGACAAAGTTTCCTTTATTTCCCCTTTTTTGTCAATTGAGCTTCCCATTTTTGTCGCTATTTGAAACACTCTATTTACTTTTTCTCAATTCGGTATATGTTCAGAATCCTGAGAAATGTATGAAGTTCATGGGTTCACTATTGAAAGAGGATTCGAAAGCCACGAGGGAACTATATACTCATAGGGTACTGATTCTCCTACTGACCCATTAACATTTAAGATCTTGTCTGCGATATGGCACCAAATTATACTTAGTTGCGCTGTTGGTATGCAACACTACGTCAGCCCTAACCGAAAGGAACATTCCTAATTGCTCACTTGGTCAGCACACTGTCTCATAGCCTGTAAGTGCAGATAACAAAACACTGGCCAAAAGGACTTGGCTACTTAAAAAATATGCTTCTATCAGCAATATTTGAACACAGCGTAATTTTAAGGTTTTTTAAGGGAGAAGTTTTAGAACCTATCTGGCTGGCATAACTGAACTACGTACTTTAAGAATGTGTGTTACCAACATAGAGAAAGCACTCAAATTGGCATCAGAGCCTAGTTAGATGAGTATGCGTTTTAGCAAAACCTAAAACATATAAAGGATTTGCAGGTGGACTGGACGTTTATTTAATTAACGTTTATTCAATCAGATCTGTTTTAGCTTTAAGTTTATGAGTGTGACATGGAAAGTGCACTACAAACCCTTGGAATCGATCCACAGAAAAATCCATATCTGCGTCTTCAGTGAATTAGTTTGTTAAGAGATTAGTCGAGCGCAGATGCTTATCAATGTAGGCTTAAAGCTCTTTATTCTCAACCGAAATCCCGAACATGAAGTCATATAAAATTTCATTTTCTTGTCTGTTTTATTCAACCAGATAAAAAGTGTATCCACCTAGAGTTATAAAGCACTTTCAGATTTTTGGTTAAGCCCGTGTTAATGCTTTTGAATGCATCTATCTTTGTCACATGCTTACTTGGACAGTTCAATTTAGGGAGTCAGTCACAAGAGTTAGTGACTCCGTGAAAGAACCAGTACTTCACACAAAGTTATTCGTCCTTATTATTTGAACTAAGCTGCCACGTTCTCTGAGATCTTTCAACCTGGTGAGACAAGGACACAAAGAATTTTGGAAATTGTAATTAGAAGAGATTCAAACCGTTGATTCATTCTTCATATGAATAATTGGTAATAACAGAAATCATAAATGTAGCTCTCCTCAGCACTGTTTCTAGAGTGTATGAGTCCTCTGTTTGGCAAGAGCTGTCGGTTTTCTAGCTTTGAACTCACCAGAACTTTGATGAGCATTTCACTGATGATTCTGGAGTAGGTACTGCATATTTTTTATAAGGACCTAAAGCTGTCAGCTGCCACTGCGTGAGTGTGTTGTATTTCTTAAGTTGTCACATAGGAGGACACTGAGATTCATGTGTTTCGGGTGAAGGAAGTAGTATTTCATCTATATCATATGTAATAATGCTTGAATTTCCAATGTTTATATATAATAATAACAGCTTTATTTTGTCCATTCGAACGTCTAAAAAGCATGCTGAAAAGTTAACTATTAACTGTTTCACATAATTGTAACAGGATGTCTGATTCCAAATTTTGATTGCGACTGACAGATTAAAATAATATAACACACTACTCGGGCTGCTTGTTGCTTCTGTCTGTCTGTTTTCGACATAGAACTTTGAACCGATGTGCACCAGTTCAAGTGGCCACACTCCATTCCTTGTAGCACACAAAGCAAGAGAAGAAAGTAGGAGAAATGCATAATAGAGACAGTAAACGGAGGTGTGAGACAAAGGAATAGTAATAACGAAGAACAATATAGTTTCATTGGAAATCGTAAGTCACAAGGAGTGGATACATCTGCACCAGCCAGCCATTGAGAACGATTTTGAGCCAGCTATGTCACCAGTTGTTTCCAGCCGTCGTTGGTTTTTACCGTCGCGAGGACCCCAACCAGGATGTGTACACCTTCCTACGTGACTGGCTGGCTGCTTAAACTAACTGTTTCATTGACTGGTGCCATGTTTTTGTTTGACAGCCGCTAGCTTTCTTCCAGCCTGACCCTATATCCGATAACATTGCTCGTCGAGTAAGGCGATGACTAGGCATACGTAACACATGTCCTAACCATCTCTCTCAGTCGATGTAATTTCACAGCCTCGTCGATTGATTTCTCCTCCTTACCTAGAACTCGATGCCTGACCTCAATATTGCTTACCACTTCACACGGGAGTTAGAACGCAGGCACCTATGATGAAAGACAGATAGCCAGGTTTTTCATGTCTTCCACTCTCAAGGGCCAGGTCTCGCAACCATAAAGGAGGATGGAGCGAACTGCTAAGCAGTACACCTGCCCTTTAGTCGACAGCAAGCCGGATATCACGTCTACTTCAGAGACGGCGTAAACTGACATATGCGAAACTGGCCCTTTTCATCCGTGCTGAGATTTAGTCAGAGATCAACCCTTTGGGTTGCTGTTACTCAAGACGAAAGTATACAACATGTTTATTTCCTTTTTTAACCCAAGTGGCACATAGGGCTTCAAGCTTTGGACTTTGGAGTTGCACTAATGGTGTTGTCGTTTTTGTTTACTAGTTCGAGTTGTCAACCTGACGGCCAACCTTCTCCCTTTCACCTAATGCTTACTACCAAATAGTAAACTAGGCGTGATTTGGGAGTATTTCGTTTGCTACTGGTAAGCTGGTAAGCATTCTACCACCGATCCAGTGACTCACTTTGTTCTTTAGAATCCTCGCATGTTAGCCATACATTCAAAGGAAGAGTACGTCTATTTGTGAAGTTCATTTCTAAATGTCCATCCGAGTTAAATATTCAAAATTTTAACTCACGCCTCCACGCTTTAAGTTTTTGTTTTCATAAACTATAGATATTTCAGTCATTTAGAGTTTAAAAAACGAGGCTATTTTCAGTAAATAGTTTATTAAGCATGATAATAATACATTTCCTCATTGTGCAAGTAAATCTGCCTCTGTGGTTCAATGACAAAACTCCAAGCAGCCTTGTGCGAGGTTCGGTTTTGATTTTCAGCTGTCTTAGAAAGTGTTTTGCTAAAATTAGATTTTACAGTCAGTTGAGCCGGGTTTTAAAATGTGTATCATTTACCATCAAGTAAGAAGTTTTATGGCACAAGTCTGTTGATTTGACAGTTTGGATCACAGTTTGTAGCAAAATTTTACCTAATCTATTAATTCGGTTTCCCTTTTTTCATCTTTCTGCAATTAATACAGACAGTTTATTGATAAGGTGATTATTTTCCAACCATTAATCATAACTATGGTAAGTTTTTTGAGTGATAGCTTAAAACTAACATAGATTACCTGGCTAGCTTAGTTGTGCTCTTTATATAATATATATATATATATATATATATATATATATATATATATATTAATAAAACCTGTACATATTCAGTGTGGACGACTACTAGACACTGGAAGATATGAAGCTTGCAGATGACTTATGTGTAGTGTCGCATTTACGTGAAGGTCCTCCGGTGAAAACAACCAAGTTGGCAGAATATTCAGCAAAGATAAGACTTCATGTGGACAAAGAGAAGACAAGTGGTGAAGATACGTAACTGGCGGCAACACCAATCACTATGAATAGTAGAAATTTAAAATTTGTCATCTCTTTCACTTAACTCCGCAGCATTAGCTCAACTACAACAACAGAAGACAAGGGCCAGGCAACAGACCGTTTACTGAGGGAATCAAGAGATATTTATACATTTTTATGTACATTATTATTCGTTGTCATTAGCAGAGAAACAGCGTCTTCTGATTGGTCGTCTTCTCACTGGAAGTTATTCTGTCATCTCTTTGTAGCCGTTTCTTCCATGGTCAGACCATCTATCTGCTAATCGTATCCGCCCACGCAAAGTCTGCTGTCTGTTGAGTTAGTCTTTGTTCTTGTTTTTTCTCATGACTAAGAAACGGAACGTAAATTGCTGTCTACCAGTTTTGGCTAGCAGGTAGTTTTCACCACAATGGTTCAAATAAGGATGTCAGAATTGCTCAGGAGAGGGGAGGCAAGACGGAATTTCATTACTTTGAAATCGGTCGGGAAAATCTGCTGTCTTCCCTTCATACTAAAGATCAGGTGGCGAAAAAGGATTAGCAAAAAAAGAAACTCTTGTAACTGAGCAACCAGAGACTTATTGCTAAAAAAATATGCCTAAGGAAATGGAGATGAAACGTTCATACCCTGGGCAGACCACTGACTAATACCGCGCGCCAGGTCGTCGAGTAGGGGCAGGATGGGAAACGGCGAGCTCGACGTCCGAAGATGGCATGGATGAGAAGGAAATAATAGCAAATTGGCAGTGGTGGAGGCAATTAGAAAAACTTCGCAGAACAAGGTGAAGTGAATATGTGCTGCTGGAGCCCTTTGTCCCACTCGAAACCCAAGGAGAATAATAATAAGGAGTTCAGTTTTGTTAGGCTTATTCACCCCTACTGACTTTTTTGAGCAAAGTTAAGAGCAAATAACAACAACAATTTCTACAGATAAAAATAATTTCATCATTTAATTTTGTCGGTTAATCGTCAACAAACTTATACAATCTTTAAGTAGATTTAGTACGAATGTACAGGCAAACATTTTTAAAGTACTTTCCAAGATGACATGATGTCACCAAACAGGAGACTTCAAAAGTGATGAACAAAGCGTCTTCGGAATTGTCACTTATAGAGCATAGGCACCAAGGGTTTTAACAGTGTTATTGTCAAGCATCTTTTTAATACAGGTCGTATGAACTGAATATCTTGAAATTCTTTAAGATTATTGATAGACAACATAATTCAACTCTTCACAAGTTTGTCAGGACAATCATCATCAAGCGATTAACAACCCAGTTTAGGTTTGCTTGGAAAGAAGTACCCATCAACCTTTCTTTGCTCTGGTAGCTGGATTTTTCTTTTCAGTCACTCATTTTATTTCATTACTTAATGTTTCATCTGGATGTCTTCTTCTAAGGCATAATATTTTTTCCCTTCTGTTCCTATTGTATGTATTAGGCTTACCATATTGTAACGCAGCGTATTAGTTACCTATCATTGGCTTATTTACCCCTTATCTTTTTTACAAGACTACTTTTCTAATGCATCCAAACATTTTTTCTTTAAAACAAATAGTTCCCTTTAGGAATTTAGATAAAGCAATAAGACGTAATTTGTCTGAATCGTGTAATGTATTTGCTCAACACATTTCGAACAATCTGATCACACACCGACTTGTCGTAGGAATATGTACATGGAATTAACAAGGAGTTAAGAGGTGAGAAAATAGACTTAGGTCAAGTTAAAAGGACATATTGCAGAGATCGATGAGTCCTTCTTATGTATGTGTGTCCGCACGTACATTCAAATTGGTAAATACAGTGGGATGTGACGTCATTTTTCGCATGTTTGAAGGGCATAGATAGATACATTGGCTTCACATTCTCAATTATTACGATATTAGCTGCATAAAAGGTCTTTTTAACAGCAGTGTTCAGTTTTTGTCTAGTTATCAAGCTTCTTTGATGCCTCATATAGGGTAGCTTGATGTACACGTCTTTCTTAGGGGCGAGTTGTAGAGTGGGTCTTGGTGTTCTGACCACCCTATATCTCCTGATGAACTTGTCTGGATAATTGTTATCAACCAGAGTTTGTATCAACTTTCTTTCTTCTTCATCAAGTGTGTCGTCAGTCCATATTCGTTAGATTCTACTGAAGAGGCACCTTACTAAGCCTCTTTTGTACCAAACAGGGCAGAAACTGTGATAATTAAGATACTGTCCAGTCCAGGTAGGTTTTCTATAAATAGATCTTTTTATTGACCCATCAATCCATCGACTAAGGAATATCTCTGGGAAAGATAAACAATTATCTTCCTCTTCTACAGATGCAAGGGATACACTATTCTGAACTTCATTCATTCGATTTAAAATTGAGGTGGCAGAACAAGACTTATCACTGATGATTACAATATCATCTACATACCTTCTATAAAGTGGCATATTTCCGATTAAATCCTCTGATAAACTCTCAATGTACGATATATAAATATCTGCTAAAAGGGGCCCTAACGAACTTTTTTCTTTAATTTCGGACCTTCTGTTCTTAAGTTATACAAGTATTACTTTTGAGCACACAATCTGTTTACTATTTTTGAAGTTTTCCGTTAAATGAGACCACGTTGCCTTCGCAGATACCTTAAGAAAGGTCTCCCGCACGTAGACTGAATGACAGCATCTTTTGGTTGTATTCAGAAGTCGATAATATGAAATGATTACAAATCAGCTTATTCTGCTAATATCTTAGCTTCATTAGTTTGTTCTTATTTTGGAAGCAGTTTTTGTACATTTTTTTGCTGTTCACAAGTTAGCATTTAATGTGTATGCGCTTTAATTAACTTACCATTTGCTTGCATAACTAACATGATGAATTGTTTTTGTGTATTCAGCGGACCTACTTCTGATATCATAATGCTAACAGAGTTTAATATGGTTGAATAGTTCCTGTTGTGAATTATTAAGAAGATATTGTTCGGTAGAGAAAGTATTTCCATTTAGCGATTTACAGGAATTTTATTGGTTTCACCTTTGATAACGAATTGACATCAGTTGGAGAAACATTGAAAGCACACCAGGCGGCGGTTTCATGCAAGTTTACGTCACTAAGAGCTTTCCAACATGTTACTCCTTCACTATCTCCGTAGTGAAGATCAGATTGGTGTCCAGAAAGGATAAACATCAAGCAACTCTGGTGATCAACGTACCAGCCAACAAATACCCGAAATGAAATGGAGATGAGTTGGACATACGTTGAGAAGACATTCGAATGAATTCAAACTCCAGGCCGTCGAGTGGGCGTCGAATAAGAAACGACGAGTTTTACGTGAATGTGAGTGTGATATGCTGAAGATTGTTTTAGGAATAAATGAAAGCCTGAAGGCAGTGCCGGATTAAGCATGATGAAAGTAATGGCAGAGAATGGAATGGAATGGAGATGTGCCTCGCTGAAACTCTCTGTTTCACTCAGACTGAATGAAAGAGAGAGATGACCAATTCTCAAAGCTACGAAGAACGTGATTTTTTTAGTTTTTCTAGTCGAAAGCTGTGACCAGTAGGGTACAGGAGGTTGAAGATGAAGCAGTAACTCATCGAAGAAGACATTGTGAAATGGTCGTGCTATGTCGTGAATTGGTGGAAGTTAGAATTCATGGGCTGACCATTGGATCGGGTCTCAGTGGCTCAATGGTCTACGGGCTGGCCTTGTGACCAGAACGTCTTGGGGTCGAGCCCTGGTGGGTTCATACTGATGATGAGTCCCAAACTAGGACGAAACAGCTGTCCAGCACTTCCAGGTTTTCCAGTGGTTCTTTAACTAATTTCAGCTCATGATGAAATCCCCCATTTTTTCAGTTTTTGTCTAATGAATGTAACTCATGTGTCAGTTTGGATTTTTAGCTATAATTCCAATAAATGAATAGTTTGCCACTTAGCTAAACATTGTAAAGCGTCTAACCCGTTTTTCAAGCTAAGATTTGTTTTTGTGTGTACGGCTTAATTAAACTCTTGGTCACTGAACTCAACTGAATCCTTTTTTTCCCCCTTAAAGGCCATATATGTCAAATGTACCTAGTCAAGACCAAAGGAATTCCACGCATTATCTTTCGTCAAAGAGTAGAACACAAAATACAAACTTGCACAAGAATAATTATTACTGTAATAATGAACCTGAAAGAATTTATGTCAATTGTCCACAGAAACTAAGAAGTGAAGGCGAATCATACAGACAGCAGATGAGGTATTGATGAGATATTGGGAGTATGGGATTTGGATCAAGAAGAACATTGCGTTAACAGATACGATATATATATATATATATATTGAAGAGTAAGTTGTTGTAGGTGAGGATAAAAGTGATCTCAAGGTGTTTCCTAGCATTATTATTACAGTATTCCTATAAACACTCAATACACACAACACCAACTAGCTGTCACGAGGAAATATTTAAAATCCAAATTGACCACCTCGGTTCTATCATCTGAAGGAGGTGGAAATGAAAGGGATGTTAGTTTTATTCTACCTGTTACTTATGCTCTCATTAACTATAAAAAGATATCATGTCGATGCTTTTGTTTCATAGAGGTTGAATACCTGTTGCATCATATGCTTATACTATAACTTAAAAACATCTTGTGATTGTTTTTATCCCTAACCAGATGTGTTACTTGACTTAGTTTTTATTTTAGAAATTTGTTCGTTTGAACCGGCAAGAAACAGACATTTCGGTCTTTTTTCGTTATTTTTTGATACAACGGATCATCATTGAACAAAGCTGGGAATGGCAGTCACCCCTCTATCTCAACTTCATTGACTTTGAATAGGCCTTCGACAGCGTCGACCGAGATGTGATTTGGAAACTACTTTGCTACTACGGGGTGCTACCGACAATTATACATCTCATCCAACAGTTGTAAGACAACGTTGCATGCCAAGTAATCCACAACGGGAAGTTTACGTAATCCTTCGAAGTTAGGACGGCAGTGAGGCAAGGCTGTCTACTATCGCCAATGATTTTCCTGATTGCAGTAGATTGGATAATGAGACAGACAGTGGGCAATGAGGAAACATACATAAGAGGGACCCACACAAAAAAGAACTTGGAGGATTTGGACTTCGCCGATGATATATGTCTGATTTCCCAAAAAGTGGAGGATATGCAAGTGAAAAGCAAAAAGTTGGCAGAAGAAACATCTAGAAAAGATAGGACTTCAGGTGAACAGAGAGAAAACAGATGTGGTGATGAAGATTCCTGGCCAACACCAACAGCAACAACAACAATAGACAGCAATCAGGCTGCATAAATGGGAGGAACCTGAAAGAAACAACCTCCTTTACCTACCCGCCTACCTGGGAAGCATCGTTTCAACTACAGGCCAACGGAACTGACGAGGATATCAAAGCGAGGATCATCGGGAAAGCAAGACAAGCTTTCATTACTCTCAAGTCTGTGTGGAGGTCCGGATATGCAACTCCAATGTGAAACCAGTCAGTGCTACTTTACGCATCAGACTTGGTGCGTCATAAAGAGCATCTCAAACAAACTTCAGACCTTCATTAACAGCTGTCTTCGCTCAATTCTGCTCCAGATCAGATGGCCAGAAAAGATCAGCAACAGGGTGGGATCTCTGGCAATGAGCGAACCAACCAGGAACCGATTGTGCAACAAATAGGCAGGAAGAAATGGAGATGGATTGGCCATACACTGAGGAAACCATCAAGTGACATCACTAGACAAGCCATTGCTCGAGTGGAACCCGAAAGGGTCGTCCAAAGGTGACTTGGAGGAGGTCATGTGAGGAGGAGATGAAAGCATGTGGGCAAACTTGGAGCGGGGTGAAAACGTTGGCAGAGAACCGAACGCAATGGAGACGCGCGGCTGAAGCCCCTATGTTCCTCTAGGAAATAATAATGTAATAAAAATATTGAATTAAGATTATTGTGAAGAATAAAATTAATGGATAATGGTGGTTGGCAGTAGAATCCAGGCTTGGAAGTTCGTCCTGTCTGAGGATCGTCATATGGGCTTATACGTATCTCCGCTAAGTAGGTGATGGTGTTTCGACTGAGTGCAAACAGCACAGTGATATCCACTTTGTCATGTGGGCGACTGCGAGCACCATCACGCACTAGAGATAAAGACACTTCTCATTGACGAGTCTTAAATAACACGAAAAATACTCATCGTGTATTATATTGCTGTTAACCACCACTAACTAACTAAATGACATCATATTAATTATTAAACATCGCTGAGACTTTGGTACAAAGAAGCGCCAACAAGTGAACAGAGATCAAACATTTCCAATGTAAATCAATCAAAGGGAAAAAACAATGCAGAATAATTTGAACAAATCTGCTTAAGATTGAGTTCAGATTTGAACACAAACTGACACCAGTTTGAGAATGACTGAAATCAAGAGAGTACTTGGGGGCAGATGTTTTGTGCTTGTTTGGTACTCCTAATCAGTATGCATCTGTGGGTACCACCAGGGGTTGAAACTAGGACCTACAGGCTACAGCTACCACCTGGCAATTTCAACGGCTCCCTGGTTTTCAGTAGTTCTCAGATTCCTGATAACGGAGACTTGAACAAATCAGCTCAAGCACTCGGTTTTCAGCCTATAGGTTATGGGTCCAAGTCTCACTCCACCTATTTCAGTATGAGCAGCTGGATAGTATTTTCAGCCGTCACAGGGTAAGTGTAACTCTTAGCCTGGTATATGTAAAATCTACTTCGGGTAAATGAAGCAAAAGGAAGTTTTTTAAAACGCATATTTGTAGTTCTTTTAAAATTAATTAAATAAATAGTGTTTTCTCTCTGTGTAACAACTGATGACTCCGTTAACCACATTGATTCAAGTTCCAATCCATTACACGGAAAGATAAGGCATATTGTTTGCTGAAACAGATAAACATAAGAACTTCAGAAGAAGATATCCTTTTTCTAGCATTTTTCATTCTCTTATATTTTATATAAAGTTATTTATTGCTTGTTTATCTGAGAATGGATGAAGGCAGACATTATCTACCTGCTACCATCATTACGAAACTGTTATATATGACTTCAGTGCTCAGGATTAATAGAGAACACACTCCTATTATGGTTGGGTTCCGAGTGGACTTCAACGGCACATCGCCATTCCACCATGTTTTCTGCAGTTTATTTTTTAAGCTGGGTCTACGATTGCCCATAAGCTTTCATTTCTTCCTCGTACTACCTTGTCTGTGTCACTCTTGGACACCCAACCCATCGTTTCCCATTTGGATTCCACTCGGAACATGATACTGGATACTAAATGGTCTCTGAACCAAACAGAAGCGCTCAATGTATTAACATTAGAGCTGAAGATCTCGATCGTGTTCCTTATGCCGAGTGGAAGAGATTTTCACATTGATTTTAGACTAATAAAGATCTTACCTTTTCAATCCCAATTTGACATCCTTGTCCTCTCCTCCTGTAGTTGAAACGATTCTACATTGATGAGTGAACAAGACGACTTCGTTTAGATTTCTGTACATTGGTGGCGACTGGTGTTTGTTTCTGTGTTAGGTATCTTGGGTGTTAAGTGGCATTTAGGGCTTAACAGGGTCACATCCCTATTGTATTCTGCTCCCTACCATCTTCGTCAATTGGCACGACAACTGGTTGGAAGTGTTTATTTCCTTCTTCAGACTCATGCCCAATGCATTGGTTCCTATTTGGCTTTCACTCGACAGCCAACAACCTGGCGTTTGGCTGATATGGAAAACAACTATCTGCCTGTTATTTTTCAACAATTTTCTCCGAGTTAACTCTTGTGTAGCACTGAAAACTGACAGTTTGTTGTTCGCAAATTTAGTGCAAAGTCGACTACAAAATTATGTACAAGTGTTTTATTTGTATTTATGACTAAGAGTTATTATTAGTTAGACATGGTTAAGTTAGGCATACATAGATCGATATTCAAAACACAAAAATACTTCAAGTACCTACTAATCGATCAATTCTAATTGCCTACACCTTTCTTTTCTGTCTCTACACTTATATACATTCACATTTTTTCTTTCCAGATTGTTCGTTACTGTTCGTGTCTACAGAGTGTCGTTGACGGATAGTAAATTCACCACTAGGTTGCATGAAAGTTGAGACTATTGCTCTCTTTAATTTTTTCTTTGTTCTAACTGACCAAAAACATGTATATGTGTATGTGGGTGCGATTGCATTTCATTTTATAGGCTGTTTTTCTTTTTGCTTATCAGGTTTTTGTCTTTTGTTTTACCTTATCTATTCAGTTTTTTTGATTTATTTCTTTTTTGTTTTTCATATGAAAATAATTTTTATGGTGTATAGTTGAATTTTTTAAAACATTTTTTCAAAATTGCTTTGTCCATAATGGATGAACTATGCCTAGTCAGTTGAGATACTGACAACTGTTGGTTTCGCATTTCCAGCTAAGAGTAGCTTTGTTTCAATGAATTAACTTATAAATAACTTGATTTCGCGCTAAATAGTTAGATTTCAAATTACTTCCCCCCCCTCCATAAATGGAGTTGTTCACTTGTTAATTTAAAAATAGCTGATTTATTAATGAAAATATTACTATTATTTTAAATGTGAGTGAGTATTCTCCTTCACTTGTAGTTTTTGGATGCATCAAGCTGTGAGCTATATTTGTGGTACGGAGACTAAAATTGGTTTAGTGGTTGGATTCAAACCTGGAATCTACTTATTGCAATTTGAGTGTTTTAAGGCAGTCAGCTACATTATCGATTGAAGACAACAGGATACCTGTATGAGGCAGTTTACTTATTAAACACTTACTGAGTCTAGTTTACTTAAATCCCAGAAATATGCATAAATCGATTCAATCATTTGCAAATTACTCAGTTATAGCTGAAAAATCAGCCCAGTTTTCTTCAGAAACCAGCTATATTTACAGCACACAGTATATAATCTGCTTGACACCAATCAGATAAAAAAAAGCTTCAATCCATAATGGTATGTACTACTTACCAATTAGTATAAGTAGTTGGAAACTTTTAACACCTTATTTCTAGCCTCGGGATGAAGCCATCTGCAATATATCCAGTTAGACTAAGCTCAGAGAGGCAAATCAGTTCGAACCATCTGAATTTCGGCCAGCCACTTGGGCGAATCGGTAATATATATGTATGAAATCAAATTTTTCACCACAGTTTCCTTTTCGGAACGGAAAGTACTCAGATCATAACCATATCAACCAATCAATCAATCAATCAGCAGTAG